CAAAAAACAAAAAACAAAAAAACGAAACACCTAAAAAGTCATATACTGGAAAAATGCGTCCAATCTATAGGAGTCAACTTTAGAATGTTAATAGAAGATATGAAAGTTTGGGGGGTTGAGGGGATGATGGAAGGTTTTAATAAAACCTACGAACACTACTGAGTGAGAGCAAATTCAGGTCTAAAGACAGCAACACTCACCCTAAGTGGATTTACAGACGACGCAATGCCAAACAAAATGCCTACATTTAAAAAGTGATTTAAGGCAAATGGATTTTTTGAAACAGATTTTTTTTCTGTAGCCCTGATAGTCCTGGAACTCACTCGGTAGACCAGGCTAGCCTCAGATTCAGATATCTTCGTGTTTCACAGGGCACAACAGGCTCTGAACAAGAAAGTTTTTAAAAGAATTCAAACTGGGTGGTGGAAGTGCACACCTTTAACCCCAGCACTATGTAGCCTAGGCTAGCCTCAAACTCACAGAGATCTGCCTGCCTCTGCCTCCCAAGGTGCACACCACCACTCCCCAACTTTATTCACCTTTTAAAAATCTAAAGTTATGGGGGGTGTGGAGAGAGATGACTCAGAGGTTAAAAGCATTAACTGCTCTTTCACAAGGCTTGGATTCTGTTTCCAGCATCCACATAGCAACTTAAAACTGCCTCTAAGTCTAGTTCCAGGCAATCTGGTGCCCTTTTGTAACCACCATGGGCACCCCTTACATATATGCAGGCCAAACATTCATACACATAAAAGTTTTGAAAGTCTTTTAAAAAATATTTTAAAAAATAATAAAATCTACATATTAGAGGGGCTTTTAAAAGTATAGTCACAGAGTTTACAACTGTTACCATTACTTATTTTTCAATACACATACAAATTTATATTTGTTAAGAATCATTTGCCTTTCCCAACCCAACCCAACTACTAGTCCATTTTTGTCTTCTTAAATTTTTCTCTCTTAAAGATTTATTTTCATTTTTTACTTATGAGTACACGTGTGTATGTGTGTTTGTCTGTACAGGAGATTAAACAATTCCTTGAGCTCGAGTTACAGGCAGTTGTGAGGGAGCTGCTAAGTGCAGGGGCTGGGAACCCAATCCTAGACCTCTATAAAAACAGCAAGCCCTCTTACCAGATAAGAGCCATCTCTCCAACTCCATATTGATATTTCCAAAGAGTGGAAGTCAGTTGTCTTACATAATTTATCACATTCTAGATTTTTCTGTTTTCCCTTGATTTTAACTTGTCTCTGCCTAGATTTCTTCTGAATTGGAAATTAGGTCTGGCTTGATAAGAAAATATATACCACTGGGTATATATAGAGTTACATGCCTTTAATTCTAGCAGTGGAAAGGCACTCCACTGCTAGAATCTCTGAGATGGATCCCTGTGAGTTCAAGACCAGCTTAGCATTCGTATCTAATTCCAAGCCCCAATCAGAGTTACATGAAGGTCTTTTGTCAAAAAAAAAAAACAACAAAAACAAACAAACAAAAACAAAACAAAAACAAAACAAAAAAAAAGGAAAAAACTAGAGACATTCCTTTAAGATATACCTATGCCCCATGACCAGTAAATAGCTAAGTCCTGTCACTGGTAAGCTTCATTGTTTTTCCTTTGCAGATACTAAGTACTCTTGCAGCCTAGCCTTTTTAACTACACTTCAATGCAAACCAATATTTTGTAATAATTTATATTTAAGATTGGATGTGTTTGTGAGAGATCTGAAAGAAAGAAAAGCAGTGTGCTGGAGAAGCTCTCCCTTGTATCAGAGAACCAGGTTAAAGCCTCAATAGGGAGAGAGAGCATCATGGCCTCAGACCCTACAGTAATGGCATCAAGAGAAATTCAAATGCCCAGAAGAGAAAAGAATGTGTCACATGGCTTTGAAACCATCACAAACAGTTTCTGAATTTGCTACCCAAAGTTTTTGTCTTAGAGCCTGAGTCTGTATTCTGCTTTCGTGTTTTTGTTTAAAGGATGGACATCTCATCAGCTCTCACATGTGAAAACTTGATTCAGCTCCCTACTTTCCTTCAAGAGTATAAGTAGTCTTACCTGCAGAAATGGAGCATCAACTCATACTGGACCTCCCTCCTTTGTCACTGATCTCAACTATTAGACTTCAACATATGTATCGACTATAGAGTTTGGTTAACACTTTGAAGGCTTGCTCAGGCTTAGACAGCAAGGCTGCTGCCAGCAATTTCTCTGCAGAGAGAGTGCAGAAGGATTTTAATCCAGCAATATGGCTGCTCTGGCAAGAGATCACATCTAAAGACCTTCTAGGTCTATGTGATCTGTCTAGAATGCAAACATGCTCTAGATAACAGTATGATCTGGCTGGAATACAGACACACCCTTAGTATACAGCTTGAATCCCAAACAAAAAGTTAAGGTTAGTTTATAGAAGGAAGCAACCATGTTTGAAAGTGAGGGGCAGACAAAGTAAGAGTGAAGAATTTGCCAGAATGAATCAGAAATAGGATACACCCAACACTCAGGGGAACAGGACAAGAAGAGGTTACATAAGAGCAGCTCAGGGAGAGAGCAAAGAGTTTTTACTGAGAGTTTCTTACTGGCAGAGTTTTACAGAGATGGGTTTCAGAGAGAACAAGCTAGACACAGGTGAAAACAGAATGAGCAAGAAAACGAGAAGGAGCCAGATGATTAGAACATATTGCCAGAATTAGTTTGAGGCCAGGCAGAACAATTCAGTCAACAGCCAAGAGAAGCAAGTGTGATTTAGTCAGCTTGGAGAAGAAGTTAGGGCAGAACAGCTGACAGAATGCATTCAGAAAGAGCTAGAAAGGCTTGGGAATGGCTCTCATCTAAGGCCCCTCACCTGAGAAAATAAAGACACTTACAGAGAGAATTCAGACTTTACCTGCCTGTGTATCTTTGAGGCCCACGCCTGCCAACACCTACAACACCCTCTAGCACAGACACACTTCACATGCCATGTTGTTCTGGATGCCCTCTGTTGGTCAAGGCAGCCTGTTCCACCAATGCTAGAGGGCTGATGAAAGCTCACCTAAGCTAGGCTAGTGAAGTTTGCCCATATTATGTCACCTTTTTTTTTTTTTTTTTTTTTTTTTGTGGTTGTTGTTGCTGTTTTTTGTTTTTGTCTTTTACATGACTGGGGTACTGATTTTGAGTCCTCACGCTTGAGCAGTGGGCACTGTGCTAAGTGAGCCACCTCCTCAGCCCTGGTTAGTTCACTTAAACATCTTTAAAACCTTACATTTCCAAGCAGTAAAACTGAGATAAAGAGAAGCCTTTTGGTTTTCTTTTGTAAATTGCTAGGGGGCGAGGGGGAGACTGCAACATAGACAGCTTAGGGGATGTACCAGAATCTAGGATCGGATGAGGTGGGGGAACTCGTGAAGACACAGCACGAGTGAGCAAAAACCACTCCCCGCCTAACTAAATGAAAGCACTGCCTGTGGCGTGTCAATTGAAAATAAATTGTATTGGGCTAAAGAGACGGCTCAGAGGTTAAGAGCACTGACTGCTCTTCCAGAGGACCTGGGTTCAATTCCTGGCACTCACCTGGGGGCTCACAACCCTCTGCTACTCCAGTTGCAGGGGGTCTGATGCTCTTTTCTGGCCTCCTTGGGCACCAGCATGTGGGTGATGTACCGATATACATGCAGACAAAACACCCATACACATAACATAAAATCTAAAAAATAAATTCTGTAACATGCAGTGTGTGTGTGTGTGTGGGGGTGTAGATGGAAGTGCCACAGCACCTGTGTGAAGGTCAGAACATGCTTGTCCCTCTAGCATGTGGCTTCCTGGGGTGTCACCAAACCAGTTTTGCGGATCTACTTTCCTAATTATGTTGCAGTGAAACTGCTGTTTTCTATAAAATCCTAGGACAATGAGGGACCATCATGGAGCAAGCAACCCAAATGATACACCTCTGTGGAAAGTAAGAGTTGACTATAAGAACATATTTTCATCCTTTTCTTTCAGTGCTACATCCAGGTTTTAGTCTATGCCTTACTGATTTCCCACAGTAATTATTTTAACATTGTCCTTAGTAGCCTCTTTTGTCTCTCATTATCAGAGAAACCCAGTCTACCTCAAGAATCGTCTTTGGCTTAACTGAAATTAGCTCTATAGATCAGACTGGCCTTGAACTCACAGAGCTATGAATGCTTCTGACTCATGAGTGCTGGAATTAAAGGCACGGGCCACCAGGGTCTGGCTCCGAATTGTCTTTTGAGCCAGGCTGGGTCAGTGCACGCCTTTAATCCCAGCACTCAGGAGACAGAGGCAGGAGGATCTCTGAATTCTAGGAAGGCCTGGTTGATCTACAGAGTGAATTCCAGAATAGCCAGGCCTATACAGATAAACTTTGTCTCAGAAAGAATGAGTTGTCTTTCTTACCTGTCTCTTTCACTCAGGCTCTCTAGGGAAGTGCTCCTTCAGCTCCAAATCATCTGCTAAATTAAATCTAAGCTCCATGATCACAATTTCCAGCACCTTCTCTATTTGCCAACACCCTCCACCACACCCCACCTCTGCCAATCCTACCTCCCCACCCCGCTCCAAAACAGTTTTTGAAATAATGCATTTCTGGAGCAAAATTTAAAGCAGATGACTGTTAAGCGAACTATTAAATATAAGCACAAAGGCTGCATATTGAGAGGGAACAGCCAAGTTTTACATCCTGTTTAATACAGTCAAGCAATCTTAAGGTAAGGTTGGATGATAGTATTACCTTCCCAAAATTATGTCTTTATATCCTATCTTGTGTCATCACTACTAATCTGCTAGACTCAAAGACCCTCTCCCCTGTAAAAATCTATAAATGTAAGGAATTTTCTTTGTTAGGGCAGTTGTTAATGGCTCTGCTAACCCACTTTCTCTCCTAGAAAGGGACCCGCATAATTCCCGCTCAAAGAACTACAAAGTCCATAGGGCATTTCGGCCAAGGCGCCTGCGCAGTGACCACTTCTTCCATTGTGTTCCTCGTTCCAGGGCAAGACCCGCCCCGCGACGCTGTGGCTTGCGCTGGAAGAAGCGGAAGAAGATGGCGCTCACCAGGTGGGTTGTTGATTTGGGTCCTCGATACGGAAGGGTCTGGGAGTACCCATCTTTTCCTTTTTTCTGCCCGGACTGGGCGGGCAGTGACCTGGACTGGGGCGCAGAGGAACTGTGGCCAAAACCATGGGTAGACCCTCTCGCGGGCTTCCTTGGCGACTAGGCCGCGCCGAAGCCGGGGTCTTTCCTTAGGGGCTTCCCGGGTTGAGTTCTCCCCCTCCCCGGGCCGAGAGCCGCGTCGCGGCCTCGCGCAGAGGAGCTCACGTGTGCCTCGCGTAAGCGGCACGGCAGGTTGGTGAGCACCCTAAGGACCTCAGGCTGAGGCGGGCTCGTTGAGAAGCAGCGGCTTATTTATTCCTGTTGAGCAAAGCGCGCCAGTCTTGTGCGAGCCGCTTTCCAGCCGCTTGCATGCTTTGGACTTTCTCCTTTTTTTTCAGCTACTCTTTTCCAAAACGAAGATTTCTGGGGAAAAGACAAGCAGAGTTTGAAACGTCCCAGGACTGACCCAAAAAATTGAAATTGGCAGCAGTTTGGGCTGCTGTTTACTAGATGCGCCGCTGCTCCGCGCTTTAACTTTGGACCTTAGAATTTCTTTGGTACATAGAACCGCCTCCGACTTTTGCGGTTCCTGGTTGCTCTGGTTACCGTATGTAAAGTGCTTCCAGCCTTTAAGAAAAAGATGCTAAGTGGGAGATTTTCCCCCAAAAGTTACGTAACTCCTAGTTGCTCCAAGTGAAAAAACTTTTCCATGCAGTAAAAGTCTGATTTTAAAGAAGGTATATATACCTTCTTTAAGGTATTCGTTTAGGACATTACCTCTCTCTATTAACCTACTGTTCATGTTTCTCCCTGGCTTGTATGAATCCTAAAAATGTTTTGGTCGTGGGGATTATGGTTCGTTGTCTGGCTTGGTCATAGAGGTTGTATATATAGAATGAAATGTATTTTTTGCTAATGGGAAGATGGACAAGTAGATAACACAGGTGAAAAGTAGTGCAGTCCGGAGGATCTCTGAGTTCCAAGGCCAACCTGGTCTGTATAGTTAGCTTAAGGCAGAAAGAGAGGTCACTGCCTGCAGAGTCTGGGCAGAAAACAGAGCAGCACTGTCCTAGTTAGCCTTTTAACACACTTGGTAAAAAGGTATCCGTTGAGGATTTGCCTTGATCAGATTGGCCTGTGTACATTTTGTAGTGGATTGTTTTTCTTGCTAATAGGATGGGCAAGCACCAACTCCCTAGTCCTCAATCATGAAAGAAAACTAGATGAGCATAAGCCAGTACACCAGCAAAGCAAGCAACTTATATGCTACCTTGCCTGCCTGCTTGCCTTCCTCCTTCCTTCTCTGAAAGGAAGCAAGTGTCTCTTGCTTTTAATCATGAGTGGGATTTCACTAGCTGCCTTGACATTGTTTGGTGAGTTGTTACCTGGAATTGTAAGCCAAATAGGCCCCTCCTCTTTTATTTTTTTTTTCCAAAGTATTTTAATAATAGCAACAGAAATGAAACTAGAACCAACAGAAAATGTTTATTTACAGGGCTCACCTTAATACAAAAAGAAAAAAAATTAGATTGAGTTATGCAGATTAAATGTTACAGGTAGCAAACATTTGTTCTTCAGGAACTGTGATACTGATTAGTAGTACTATGACAGGAAAGGTAGAACTTGAAATGGGTGCACACAAGAACAGTGCCAGGGGTATAGTCTGTATTGTGTGGTTAATGTAGCAAGGGCAAAAGTGAAGTCTCAAATGGCCATCCTTGGGAACTACAAAGCTTTCAGTTAGCTTTCATTACTAAATTTGTGTGTGGGTGTGTCCTTTATAAAAACTAGCTGGAGAAGCTGCTCAGTGTTTCAGAGCACTGGCTGTTCTTGCAGAGGACCTGGTTTGGTCCCCAGCCCCCAGATGAACGCTCACAACCATCTGTAACTGCAGTTTAGGAATCTGACACCTCTTGCAGTCTCAGAAGGCACCATGCACATTTGTAGAATATAGATATACATCCAGACAAAGCACTCACACACATAAAGTGACAATTGGTGAATGCTTCTATAAATCATTGAAAAGTCTGTTCTCTGAGCAAAGGAAAATCAAAAGCTGAATTGTGATAGTTAAAGGTTTGTTTATTTGTTTGTTTGTTTTAATTCTGATTTTGATTTCCTGTAGCTTTTTACCTGCGCCTACTCAGCTATCTCAGGACCAACTTGAAGCTGAAGAAAGAGCAAGATCTCAGAGATCACGGCAGACCTCACTGGTCTCCTCTCGAAGGGAGCCTCCCCCATACGGATACAGGAAAGGTTGGATTCCACGCTTGTTAGAGGTAAATGTGGACTGAAATTTATTATTGTACACTTGTAAGTAAATTTAAACCCTGGAGGATGATTGTTAACAGACATGTGATGTTCTGAGGGCATGTTCTTCCAGAGACATTTCCTCTTGTTGATTGTTGCGGTTTGTGATCAGCAGAGGAATCACTGTTTTGCTTCTTATTGTGCTGAACTATTGAACTTGTACGAAAGGAACTAGCATACCTTTACAAATGTAGGCCTTACAGCTCATGAACAGTAATGGCAGAGAACAATACAAATACAAGAAACAACAGCTCTCACTGCACAAACCTGACAATTTGAATTAGATTCCATACTGGAAAGAGAGCCTAACCCTGAAAACTTTTTAAAAGCACTGTGGCATGGGCATGTGCCTGTGCCCTCACTTCTCTCTTTCTCTCTTTTTCTCTGTCTCTCACACACACTCTAATAATAAATAAAATTTTGAAATCTTTAAAAGGGGGCGAATCAGAGTGGGTTTTGCATTTGAGTTGTGTTCACCCCCACCCCACTTCCAACAATGAAAATAATAATGTCATAACTTACCAGGTCATGACTCTGAAGAGGTAACTTTCCTTTAGGAAAATCCAGTAGCGTCTTTGATGTGTTTCTCTGTGCACTTTTTAAATCTTCAGTTTGAAAATGTTAGCACATGCGTGGTCATGATATTACATACATACGTTCTCAGTAATATGAAAGTTAAGTTTTGGTTGTTTTGGTTGATTTGGTAGACGCAGAGAATTTGATATGATCCTTTCATACCTCTGATTTGTCTCCAAAGAACAAATTTCCTTGACAGCCCATATTTTCCTGATTATTCAGCATCCTGTGCACACTTCATTATATATCTCTTTTCCCCAATTCCAAGGAAGTTATCACATACTTGACCATCTTTCTTATTTAGAGAGAAAAGTGAATATTTGAGACTTAAACTGTGGGTTGGAGAAATGGCTCAGCACTTCAGAGTCTCACATATTGTGTTTATATCAAAAGATCTCCCCTTAGCTGGATATATTGGCACAGGCCTTTAATCCCAGCACTCTGAAGGCAGAGGCAGGTGGATCTCTGAATTCGAGACCAGCCTGGTCTACAGAGGAAGTTCCAGGACAGGCAGGGCTACACAGAGAAACCATACACACACATACACACACATGCACAAGATTAGTTTGTATTTTTGGGTGTTTTGCCTGTATATATACAGCTGTGCATCACATGCATGCAGTGCCTTGCATCCTGTGCAACTGGAGTTACAAGTGGTTGTGAGCCACCATGTGGGTCCTGGAAACTGAACCTGAGTTCTTCACCTCTGAGCCCTCTCTCCATTCCAGTGTAGCACTTTCTTACATGGTTATGGCATCTACCTTAGAGATGAGGTGTCTGCCATTTTTCAGTCTGCCTCCAGGTGTATTTATAGTATCTTTGAATAGAAACATTGCTTAGCATTTTGCTCAAAACCTTCTTTACTCTGTCTCTACCACATTTGCCATGCCTCTGCCCACTCCATCAGGTCTGGAACTGAGCCTGACAAGTGCCTCCCTGCCTTGCTGGAACATAACCCTGGGTTTTGTTGTTTATTTTGTTTTGTCTCTATTCTCATCTGGTCTTTGTGAATCCTGATGTGTGAAGGCCAGTCTTGTTTTGTTAGTTAGGGATTTTATACTTGCTTTTGTTCTATTTGGAATTAGTGACATGCATTGCAAGAGAGATTATCCAGAGGCTGGAATGCCTTCCTGTCTGCAGCCAAAGAGTAGTGGTGGCTGGTGTTATATAATTGTACTTAGTGTCCCTTTTTTTGAGAGGTTATAGATATGTTTTGGAGGACTTTTCCCTGGATTAGAGTGGGGACAGCAGGCCTCATTTTCCATACAAGGGAGCCTTTGAGCTTTATGACATCTGGTGGCTGTTAGCTTTTATAGTCTTAATTGATTATCAGAGGTTTCGTATATCCTGGTGGATCAGAGCAGTTCATTTGGAAATCAAACTCAAATGGCCAGCTAATCTGAAAATGCCGGGGATGCTTTGAGGGGAGTGACTGTTCTCTGAAGAAGGCATTTTGTTCTAGTTCTCACAGTAAAAGCTATGATTTTCTGGCAGGCTTAATGAACACATAATGCCACAGCCACAGTTCTGAAGTGCTGATTACAGTCAAGGAACTCCAGCAAATCTGAGCGGGTGTCAAATGGATAGTCTCAGTACAGGGAACACTTTTCTTAGGAAGACTATTTCTGCCTAATTTACAAGAAAATATCTTTTTCACTTTATTCTGTTGGTTTTCAAAAATTTCAATCCTCTCCAGTAAATAAATATATTTTGCATTAGCATTCACAACCAAGATCTAATGAAAAAAAATCTTATTAAAATAAATTTATTTTTCAGCAAATACCCTCTTATTGATGAATCTCACTTTTCTCTAACATTCTTGGCAGTATGGTGGAGAATATCCTTATGTAATTACATACTTAGGATCAAAAGTTGTTCAGACTTCAGAGGTTTTGGATTTTGGAATATTTACACAGACTCTACATGGACACTGCTGATCTAAAACTACTAAGGAAGCTAGACGTGGCAGGGTGTGCCTTCTGTAACAGCACTTAGGAAACAGAGGATCCCTGAGTTCAAAGCCAGCCAAGTCTACACACTGACTTGGGTGCATGCCCTGCACACTGGCATGTACATCAAACACCCACACGAGAATAAAGCTTTTGGCATCCAAATCTGGATTTGCATCTTGCATATATGCTAGCTATGAGATCCTGAGGATTCTTTTGTGTTTTTTTGGAGACAGGGTCTCACTATGTAGCCGTGGCTGGCCTGAAACTCACCAAGATCCACCTACCCCTCCCAAGTGCTGGGGTTAAAGACATGTGCCGCCACATCCACTATTACACTTAATATTTGTAAACTTTCATCTGTTCCCTATGAGAATACTCAAATGTGAGTTGGACTTGTTCTACAGAGGCTTTTAGAAATATTGTAGGCAGAACATTGTTGTACTTTAAAAGGGGTACTTCTTGCTGGGTGGTAGTGGTGCATGCTTTTAATCCCAGCACTTGGGAGGCAGTAGCAGCCAGATCTCTGAGTTTGAGGCCAGCTAGTCTACAGACCAAGATCTAGGACAACTGGGGTTACAGAGAGAAACCCTGTCTAGAAAAAAATAAAACAACAACAACAATTGTAGTTCTTGTTCCTGTGTGAAGCTATATAATCACTGTTAGAGATGTGAGGCTGGGTGGAGGTGTATGTGTTTTCTCAACTGAAATAGAACCTCTTAGGCTCAGGCCATCCTGTCCAGCTTAGTTGAACTTTTTTTTCCTAAAACTCACCCTCTTATGGCTTAAATTTTATCCTTGAAATTCACAGGACAGTAACCCCAAAACTCAGGGGGCTAGGGTGCTCTAAACTCAATGGTCATTAAAGCCACCCCAAGCCAGTGACTTTTGGGTTTTTGCCTCATGAATTTAGGATGAAATTCACAAACTGTAGAGGGGTCTATCATAGAGCTTCTGCACAGGAGGGAGCCTAGTCTCTTGAAGGCTGCACTGGATAGAGATGTGTGCTGGTCAGTCTGATTTCTACTCCAGCCACATTCTCGGTGAGAACTCCTTTAGGGGAGCAGAAATAAGGACAAACTAGGCTTTCTCTCTGGCATCCTTGGCCTTTGACAAGGATGATACTGTCAGTGGACTCAAGGACATTTCCAGCATTTAGTCACAAGAAAAAAACCTTGACTTTCAGGGTTCCCCCCAAAAAAACTTCATAGCCAAATTCTATACCCTGTTCTTATCACAGGACTTAGGACTTTGGTCAATCCAAAGGAAAGAAAAAAAAATGTGCTAACTCGTCCTGGTCCTTTCTGTCTTATTTGTCTCTTGTATAGCAGTGAATAAATGATTTGTGAATAGAATCTGGTTCCAAGAGCATTTCTTCACATTTCTTCTAGGTTTAGCTCCACCTGGTGCTCTATGTTTCTGTTTATATTGCTAAAACTAGTCTTTGCTTTGTACTAAACATTTTGTTTAGTTTATTCTAGCCACATAAATAAACTGGATATGCGATAGCCTAGAAGGTACCTCCATGACTTACTTGTCCTTGCAACCTTAGCACCATTTCCTCTGTCCTTCAGAAGTGAGTAACTCCTTGCTACATTCTCTAGAGAGTTAAGACCACTTGCTGCTTTTGCAAGAGGGCCCAATTCAGTTTCAAGGACCCTGTCAGTTCACAACTGCATGTAACTCTAGCTCAGGGAATTTGACCCCCTCTTTTAGCCTCTGCTGGCACCTACATACACACACACACACCTACCTTACCAAAAAAGAAAAAGAAAACCTTCCCTTTAGTCTTAGTTTGTTTTTTGTTTTTTGCTGTGAAGAGACACTGTGACCAAAACAACTTTTATAAAGGAAAACATTTAATTGGGACTCAGTTACCATTTCAGAGGTTTAGTCCATTATCATTATGGTGGGAAGCGTGGCAGAGTCTAGGCAGACATGATGCTGGAGAAGGAGCTGAAAGTTCTACATATTGGTCCAGGAGATGGTACCACACTGAGCAAAGCCTTGAGTGCTATAAGAGACCTCAGTACCAGCCCTAACAGTGACACACCTACTCCAACAAGGCCACACCTCTTCACAAGCCACTCTGTGGGCCAAGCATTCACACACCTGAGTCTATGGGGGCCATACCTTTTAAACCACCACACCTTGGATCTTCCTTTGTTTACTTTTTCATCGTTGAGGCTTTCACTTGTGTGATTTCTTAGAAGGCTGTCACAGGCACTCTCCTGAAAGTCTAAAACTGCCTCTTCCCAGGTCTTGTCCCATCTTCATGGTACTTCCTACACTCAGAGATGTGTTTTATACCTTTGCCCACTGTAAACTACACAAGACAAAAACCTTGCCTCTGTTTACTGCTGACACTCATACCTAGCATAGATTTGATAACTTGAATAAATTGCTGCTTATTACTAAATATTCTTTTTAATTTTCTTGAAATACTCAGGATTTTGGAGATGGAGGTGCTTTCCCAGAAATCCACGTGGCCCAATATCCACTGGATATGGGCCGAAAGAAAAAAATGTCGAATGCACTGGCCATTCAGGTGGATCCTGAAGGAAAAATTAAATACGATGCAATTGCTCGACAAGGACAGTCCAAAGACAAGGTAATCTTTCGTTGGTTTTGCTTGTTTTCTTCTTGTTGATAAATATTCTGTGAAGTTCTATTACATTTTAGAAATGACAAGTCACTTGCCAATTTGGACTATGTAAAAAAAGCAGTGAAGTTAGAGCTGGAGAGGTGGCTCAGTGATTAAGAACACTTGCTTATTCAGAGGACTCCAGTTCAATTAGCAGCACCCACATGTAACTTCAGTTCCAGGGCATCTGATGCCTTCTTCTGACCTCCAAGGGCACCAGGCATGCATCTGATATACATACGTATATGCAGGCAAGACATTCAAACACATGAAGTAAGTAAACACATAAGTAAATAAATCTTTAAACAAAATAGCAGTGAAGTTAAGATTCTAACTGATGATAAGTCACTCTCTACTCAAAGTTCTGGGTTTGAGTCCAACAGTAAAATCTCTGTAAAATATACTGTATAAGCTGGGCATGGTGGTGCACTTCTATAGTCCCAGCACTTGCAGAGGCAGAGGCAGGTAGATCTCGAGACAGAGAAACCCTGTCTTGATGCCTGTAAAGTGCACTAGATTAACTTTGTGACCAACAGTGACATTGTGCCTTGGAATTCTACACAGATTGGTAATAACTGTTCTCCCCTTCACAACATTCTCAACATGTAGCTCAGGCTAGCCTTGAACTTAGACCTTCCTGCTTTCACCCTCCCAGTGCTGTAGGCCACACCCAGCAATGATACTTAGGTTTTGTTTTACATTTCAAAGTTTTTTCTTTTTCTAAAAGTGCTACCAAACTTGCAGAAGTCAGTAACCCCACACTCTTAAGAAAAATCACTTTTGTTTTTGGTCTTGTTAGAGATGGAACCCAGGGCTTCGGGCATGCTACAAGTGTTCTACACCTGTACCCCGGGACCCAAATCAGCTTTTACTTTTGTCTGTAGACAAAAGTACTTTGTACTTGAGGAATACTTACACTGAGGCTTCTTTCTTTACTTTTTGTGAGTTGTACTGGAGATCCAACCTAGGATGTTTGTGTGGTTCTCAACCTGTGGGTTGTGACTTATTTGGGGTTGTGTTATAGTCTTCTAAAGTCTCTCTCTGCTTTGGCAAGGGTCCAGGGTAGGATCTGGGACAGGATTTGGAATCCTCCATTGGCTTTTATCTCTTGGGGCACTGAGCCAATGGCTTAGGCAACCACATAGAAGGATGACTGAGGGAAGGAAGGGAGGAGTTAGTTCAGGATTCCTTCTCTAGGACTAGGCACTGGCTACACTGCTACTAAGGAAAACTTAAACTGGTCACTTTTTTCTCTGGCTGGAGTTGTAAAAAGCGGCATCTAGTCAAAACTGCAAGAGGTTGTAAAAAGGAGGCTCTTTAATCTGTAGATAGGCCTCTTTGCTAAGATCAGCTGTTTGGCCAAAGTATGCTTGCTTATGGCAGTGCTCTGAGTCTGTTAACTTATTATTGAATCTTCAGGAAAACAAGTAGAGATGAAAAAATAGACCATTCATACACACACAAGCATTAAAGAGAAAAAAGTGGATGAAGTTAAAATCTCTAACTTCAACAGATTCCTACAAGCTTACATATGGCGATGATGTTGATTCCAGCTAGCATCTCCTCTGCAGAAACTGGAGCAAGTTTAGGCTGCCAGTTCTATAACATCAACCCATACATACACACAGATAAGAAGACATACAGACCTGTACATATTCATACATACATTCAATGGATGATACAAAAGGAGCTCCTTATATACAGCTAGACAATTGACATACACTTATGTAAAATGTACAAAAAACAGACAAATGGGCATATTTACATATATACAACTCATACAATGAATCCAATTCTGGTGGACTTCCATTCAGTGGGCTTCCACAACCAGGCTTCTGCCAGAGGGGTTCCACCAATGTTTATTGTATGGTCATAGCTTTATACTTCTAAGACAAAGCTCACAGAAAAGGAATTACCTCATAGTCAAAAAGGCAATCACAAAAACAGATGAATTCTATAATACAACAGGTTACATGGTTTTTTTTTGTTTGTTTTTTTAATTTTTTTAAATATTTATTTCTTTATTTTACATATGAGTGCTCTATTTGCGTGTATGTCTGCATGACAGTAGAGTACACCAGATCTTATTATAGATGGTTGTGAGCCACCATGTGGTTGCTGGGAATTGAACTCCGGACCTCTGGAAGAACAGCCAGTGCTCTTAACCTCTGAGCCATCTCTCCAGCCCCAGGTTACATGTTTTAAAAATAAACATTTCTGTGTATCCATTACATCATCGTGAGCTCAGAGTGACAAAGTGTTTCTCTTTACATTTATGGATATCTTGACAGTTTGTATATATGTGCACTACATGTATACCTGGTACCTGAAGAGGCCAGAAGAGGGTGCTTGCCTGCCTGGCCCTGCTTTTCTCCTGATGAGTAAAGCTGTTTGTTCTCCTACCTTCAAGAGTATACTGTAGTTTTCAGATGATTCCTCCCAACAATGTTGCCTACTAAGAAATGCTGAGTTTCTTCAGCATGTTTGACTTTCCAGCTGTAAAATGTGGGAGTTTATAGTTAATTACCACAGAGGAATCCTGTTCTTTAGATGTCCTTTACTTTGCCTTAGAAGATGGGAGAATCTTACTGATGCTCATTCAAAGGGTTAATAACTTTTGAATACCCAGATAAGCAGCAAATCGTTTTTATTTGATAAATTAGTATTGAGAATAAATCAAACATACGTGACTACTAGGAGCCATTTACTTAAAATCTTCCTGTAGTGTCTAACATGTAAAAGAGGTTAATTCTTGGTAATTTCAGGGCTTTCTTCTATAAGAGAATTTTCAGTTTGTGGTGGTTCAGATTTTTTCCACCCTAAAAAGAAGTAAGGTTGGCTTCTAGTTATATGGTCCTTACGTACTGAACCTTACTTTTCTCATTATTGTGTGCTTCCAGGTTCATTTTAAAATGAACATTCATAAAAGACAGTGTTGTTAATGGCTCACATATCAGTAGTTAAACCTGTGCTAGATCCTCTTTCCCAATCCTGCTCATTCTTCAAAACAGTAAGCTAGACATTTGAGTTTATAGCTTTGGGAAATCAATACCTTGTATTGATTAGGAAGTTTGGAGCCAGGTACTGGTTGCATACCTGTGGTCCCAGCTTATTGGAGGATGAGTCAGGAACTGTGTTGGTCCTGAGAGAATTCATAAAGTAGTCCTAAAGTTGAGTCTAGAACAGAACAAGTTACATATTGAGATAATTAGTTTTTTATTGTCAACTTACTAAACCTGGAATTACTTGGGGAGGGAGCTTCAGTCGAGGAATTGTCTAAATCTGGTTTGATTGTTGGCATGTTTGTGGGAAATTATCTTGATAATTGATAAGAGTCAGCCCATTGTAGGCACCACCACTGCCTAGACGGAAGGGTTCCTGCACCATGTGAGAGAGGAGAAAGGGAACAGACAGCAGAGATTCACTCATTCCTCTCTGCTTTTGACTGGGTATAAGGTGACTAGCTGCTTGAGTTCTTGCCTTGACTTCTCCCAGTAACAGAGTCTGACTTGGAATTGGAAGCCATATAAACCCTTTTCTTCCTGAGGTGTTTTTTGTTTTTGTTTTTTGGTTGGTTAGGTTTTTTTGTTGGTTTTGTTTGTTTGTTTGTCTTTTTAAGTCAGGCTATCACAAAGACCAAAATAAAACTAGAAGACACATAAACATTTTTGTTTTACTTTTGTAGAAGAAAATATTATGGACTTTTTCTTTTCATTCGGGTTCACTTTCCTAGTTTCTGAATAGAATTGATTTCAGAAAATAGAAACATTATAAATAGGATGAGGTCAGTGGAATTTTCTAGGCCCAGTGAATTTGGAAATTATTTAGTAACCTGACTTAAATTCTGATGAGTTTTTAATCCAAGATAATGGTGCTATAGGCAGTTTATATCATCATTAATTTCAAGTCCTAGTGAGCCTCAAAAATAGAGATCACTGATGCATAAGATTTTGTTGGCAGAGTGTATTTGGATACTGACTTGATTAGAAGATCTCAAATAATTTAAATGCATGGGGTCAAGGGAAAGTGATTAGCTTGGAGCTAGGGCAGCAATTTGTGTATGCATTTAAGCTCCTTTAGTTTTAAAATCTGATGGCAAAACAGGGTATCCTAAATGTGTAAATATGCTGAAAGGACATGTTGACATCTAGAGTGACTTAATGAAGCTACTTCTTTCCATTCTGTGTGCTCATAAGCCTGTTTGCGTTTGGACACTCTAGGTCATTTACAGCAAATACACTGACCTGGTTCCAAAAGAGGTTATGAACGCAGATGATCCAGACCTGCAAAGGCCAGATGAAGAGGCCATCAAAGAGGTAACTGGGACTTGATACATGTGATTATTTTTGATGACTATTTATGTCCTTATTAATTTCCAGACCACTCAACATGATGCTTCTCATTTCAGATAACAGAAAAGACAAGAGTAGCCTTGGAGAAGTCCGTATCGCAGAAAGTGGCTGCAGCCATGCCAGTTCGGGCAGCTGACAAGCTGGCGCCTGCTCAGTATATCCGGTATGAACCATGCTGGAAGAGTTAATTGCATGTTGAAAGCTGGGACTTTAATAACTCTTTTATCAGCCTACAAAGCCAGTTACAAACACAGTGTCTTAAATAATGACTTTTGAAGCCTATTGACTCTTATTTGCAGAAGTTAAAATGCCCATGTTAAGATGTTAACTGCAGCCTGTGATGGTAGTGTGCTCCGTTAATCCCAGCTCGCAGGTGAATCTCTGTAAGTTCAAGGTCATCCTGCTCTATAGCATGAGTTCCAGGATGGCAAGGGCTACACAGAGAAGCTTGTCTCAGAAAACAACAAAAAAAGATGTTGACTGTTGTAAGCTGGGCAGGGATGCACTTGAATAGGCAAAGTCATGTGGATCTCTGAGTACTAGGCCAGCCAGGGTTACATACTAAGACTCTATCAATAATCTTCATGTGTTTTTTGGGGGGGTTTGGGGCATTTTGATTTTCAGTTGTTTAGAAAATAACCATTGCCTATGGTATATGACCGAAACCACAATTGATTACAGTTTCAATTATATTTATATTTTTATGATTATATTTAATAATTTACAATGGCGCTAAGTGTTGAGGGCCTTCACTGGACTGTATACAAGAGGAATGAATGGAAATAGATGTTAAAGGAAAACTTGGAGTTAGAAGGACTTCCGCCACAGGGTTTTTATGACAGTTAGTCAGAAACTGCTAACTGCATGTTGCTAGTGGGCATACATACTATTGTGACTATTTTTTTTCCTTTAAAAAAATTATTTACTGTTATTTTATGTGTATAGGTGTTTTGCCTGCATGCCCAGTACCCAGTGAGGCCAGAAGAGGGAGTCAGATCCCTTGAAATTTGAAGTTGCAGGCAATGATGAGTTGCCATGTGGGTGCAGGGAATTGAGTCCAGATGCCCTGAAAAAGCAGTCAGTGCTCTTAACTGCAGAGCCATCTCTCCAGCCCTGGCGATTTTTTTTCTCCATAAAAGTAGGGCTAGTTTTAGACCTGTGAAGCTGAGGGGGTCTACTTCCCAGGTGGGATATGGAGAGGATGAGAAAGGAAGTCACTAACAACTTGCTGGAATGGACATTTTGTTTGTGATTCAGTTTCTGCTCCTTTTCTGACCTGTTGCTGGCTGCCCTGCCTAAATGTATGGTGATTTTAAATTAGCACTTCCTGAAAAGAATTGAAGGTGTAGTCACTTGGGACTGTAATAGGAGATAAATGCCTACCAAAATTTAAACTAATTACAACTTTAGTTTTCATCTAATTTCTTTAGCTATACACCATCTCAGCAAGGAGTAGCATTCAACTCTGGAGCTAAACAAAGGGTTATTCGGATGGTAGAAATGCAGAAAGACCCAATGGAGCCTCCAAGATTCAAGTAAGTATATGGCTTCACGAGGATGAACTCTTGTTCTTTCTTTTTAAGATTTTATTTATTAGGCCAGGCAGTAGTGGCACATAACCTTTAATGTCAGCACTCGGCGGGCAGAGGCGGGCGGATCTCTGTGAGTTCAAAGCCAGCCTAGGCTACACAGCGAGTTCCAGGATAGCCAGCCAGTTCTGGGGTGAGGTAGGGTGGGGGGAATTTTATTTGTTTATTTAATGTGTGAGTGTTCTATGTGCATATGTGCCTTCATGCCAGAAGAGGGCATCAGATTCCAGTATAGATAGTTGTAAGCTACGATGTGATTGATAGGAATTGAACTCAGGACCTCAGTAGAAGCAGTGTTCTTATCTGCTGAGCCATCCCTCCAGCCCCAACTGCTGCTGTTCTTAAAGTATCAAACAAGAAAATGTCCCACATGTTCATCAACAGGTTAATAGATAAAGAAACATCAGTACATCAGATCCTGGAAAATTATTGGCCCAAGAAAAGGAGTAAACTACTACAATAACATAAAGTCTGAAAATAATTTTGTTACATGAAAGAAACCAGACAGAAACAAGTAATACAATGTTATGGTTCCCATGTATATATAATAAACACTCTAGAAAATGGTGTCAGCAGGTGGGCTCAGAGGTTAAAGACACTTCCAAGTCTGATGACCAGAGTTCAGTTCCTGGGACTTGTATGGCATCGGGGAAGAATCCATTCCTGCAAAGTTGTCCTCTGACCTCCATACTTCTGAGGGTTGTGCATAGCCCTCTCTCATACACAGATAACAAATAAATAAATTTAACTTCTAGAACTGTAGAAAATGTGGTTTTGTCCTCAGTTACAGTCAACCTGTGGTTGCTCATAGGGAAGAAGGTGGGGACAGAGAAGAGGTTGAGGTGATGAGGATGCTCTCTGTCTAGATTGTGTGATCAAAGTGATCTATCGGATTGTATTCTCTGTATTTAATTAACTGTGTGCCAGTTTCATCAAGCTGTTGCACTATGCAGTGATAACAGTGTGAGGTGAGTGGTGACAGTGGCAACATTTTGCTAACTGAAAAAAATGAGCATAAATCACAAAATCAATGCTTATGTGTACCATGAGCACTCATCACAACAAAAAAATTAAAATGAGGGGGTAGAGAGACGGCTCAGAGGTTAGGAGCATTGGCTGCTCTTCAAAGGTCCTAAGGTCAGTTCCCAGCAACCATGTGGTTGCGCACAACCATCTGTAATGTGATTTGGTGCCCTCTTCTGGCTTGCAAGTATACATGCAGACAGAATACTAAATAATAAATCTTTAAAATAAAATTTAAAAAAAAAAACTTTAAAAAAAGAAATATAAAAAAAAATTAAAATGAGAAGGGAAGGAAGACTTGGGATCTACCTGATAACTAAAAAGTGACTGAGGACCCCTGCTGATTACTTATTTTACTTTGATTTCTTCTTCAGGATTAATAAGAAAATTCCCCGGGGCCCGCCATCTCCTCCTGCACCTGTAATGCATTCTCCTAGTCGGAAGGTAATCCTTGGCTTTAGTCAAAACTTTTTTCACTTGTGAGTTTTAGTTTTATAAACAGCCTCTCTGCCTAAAGGTACATGTCACCATGATGGTTAAACTTTGGTTTTTAATGTTTTCTACAAGATCAAATATGGACACAGTTAAGACTACAAGTAGAGTGTGCTTATGAGAATATATGTAAGTGGTAGCTGATCTACCAAAAGTGACCTCTGCTTTCAGTGGAGAGGGCAGGATCTGTTTGATTTGCAGAGGAGATGTGGGTTTTCGTATGAAAGCTGCCACATTGCCCCAATCCTCCACGCAAGACACATTTAAGTATGGAAGAGTACTCTCCAGTATTTGTAATATCTGATACCATCTCAGTCCTTCACATTAGCATCCGTGTGGCTAGAGTCCATGCCAGGAAATCAGTGTGCACTGCTGGCAGAGATTTTCCTGCAGTTGTCATCAGGGAGGGCCGTATTGGGTTCTTTAGGCAGACTGTAATGGAAACGTCTCTCCTTCACCTGTTTTTCAGATGACTGTAAAAGAACAACAAGAGTGGAAGATCCCCCCTTGTATTTCCAATTGGAAGAACGCTAAGGTGATTATGTGTTACACACTCTGTTAGTACCGTCCCTGGGAAGGAGCTGCAGCCTGGGGACATTCCTTTAAGCCTTAGCTCCTCACTTAGCTAAGCATTCACAAAAAGAAATTACAGCTGCTGAGAGCAGAGCCCAGTGGAAGAGCACATATTTGGCATCTGAGACCCGGTGTGCCACCAAAAAAGTAGAGAGACAGCGTCACGGGAAATGTTGCTATACCAGGCACTTGAACACCATGTAAATCTCTCTGGCCTATTATAGCTATCAGAAGCACTTAGACAAGAGTAAGCAAAGTACCCTACTGATTGAAGATGTGATTCTTCATGAAGGTCAAACTTCTAGGTTAGAAATTTTTCCAAGAAAAAATTTAACCAATCTCAGTGTTCACATGAGAAGAAGCAGTGAGTTTTGGGGTGGGGGGAAGATCACTGCTTTATTTCCAGCTGTCCTGCTTTGTAGCATTGCTGTACACTTGATGTGAGGTGTGGTGTTGCATTCTTGTGATCCCTGCACACATGAAACTGAAATAGGAGGACAACAAGTTGAAGACTACTCTGGGCTACATAGTAAGATCTTGTCTTAAAAAAGGCCCTTTGTATTCTAGGGCATGATGACACTCTTGAGGCAGAGGCAGGCAAATCTCTGTAGGATTGAGGACAGCCTGGTCTAATAGCAAGTTCCAGGACAGCCAGGGCTACATAGACCCTATCTCAAAAAATAAACTAAAATCCTATGTATCTAAACTGCCAGAGCTTCCAAAAGGTAGTAAGAATCTGTAAAATATAGTATACATTTCCTAATTCCTATACCTTATAGGCTTGGAGTCCTAGTTCATGAGTCACGCTGATGGGCAGCAACTTTAAGCCATGATTTAAATATAAAGTCACAGATTCATCCACCACTGGAAAGGCTGTTGGACCATCTTATATGGGTTGATTCATATCTGTGTAACCCCATGACATGTTGATGATTCTGAAATTGTGGGTCTTTGTTTACTTATAGATTCTTTTCAGATGGGAAGTTCTTTATATTTTTTGTTTGAGGGCCAAGGTCTCACTCTGTTGCCCAGAAGTTGCTATGTGTGCCAGGCAGGTCCTGAACATGTAATCTCCTGCAAGTGTGGTTGCACACATGTAGCACTGAACCTGGCCAGCACTGATTCATGTTAGGAGTAGCCTTGAGAGTAGTGTTTGACAGACAAAGTAGAAATCTGGAAAAGTTTCGTAGATAGGCAGCATATTCCCTGGGTTATAGCAGTTTGTCTGCATTCTTATGACTTGATTTTACTCCAGTCTGACTACTGGGTAGTGATTGCCTTTTACTGTGACCTACAGTTATTAGCATAATCACATTCAAAGTCTGGGCTCTTGCATTATACTGTTGGTGTTCCAGTCTTGGTTCATGCACATACTGACTCTGAACTTGCCGCCATCCCCTCAGCACTCTACCCCATCTTCCCGTGAAATGGAGAATATTGTGTTTGCAGCCCCATGAAGCTACCAGGACTGTGGGTCCTCCATCCAAAGCATTTATTGTTGTTTTCCATTGTCTAAAAAGGAATGTGAGAAATTTCAGGGTTCTCAAAATGGGCATGCACTACTTAATGTTACCTGATGACTGTAGCCCTACTGTGCTAACTTGCCTTCTGCTTTCACCTCAGGGTTACACAATTCCATTAGATAAACGGCTGGCTGCTGATGGAAGAGGACTTCAGACCGTCCACATCAATGAAAATTTTGCCAAGCTGGCTGAAGCACTGTACATTGCCGATCGGAAGGTTGGTCTTTTGTGGTTTGCCGTATGTTCTTGCATCTGTGAGCCCATACCTATTTACCGCAGGTACTAACTCGTGTGTCTGCTGATGACAGCAGGGGCTATCTGGAGTTCTGTACAGAGCCCCACCCAGGTTAGGAGCCCCTCCTTCTCTGCATGCCAGAGGACTGGTTTCCTAGGCTGACCTCATTTTGTGAAGATTACTAGATACTACTGTACATCGCATAGTCTTCTATTTTAGATGTAGATGTTCCCTTTTGTAGAGAAGGGTAGGTAAGCATTATGATTAAATTCTGCATAAAGTAGTATTAATGGTATTGGCCTTTGACATTACAGATAAGTTCTGTATTAATATGCATATACATGCAAATAAGTGGGGTTTTTGTTGTTTCTTCACTAAAGTCTTTCAGATGTAGGCTAAGGTTTTATGTTAAGGGTTTGTCATAGTTAAATTTTGGTGAGTTTTGGTTTTTCTGAAACAGGATCTGAGTTTCAAGCTCAGGCTATGCTGGAACTCATTGTAATCCTACCTCAGCCTTCTGAGTTCTAGATTGCAGGTATGTACTACCATGTCCAGCTACATTAATTAACCTATTTTCATATAGTTTGAGACTGGATCTCACTGTGGTTCAGTCTGGTCCACTTCATTTTGTTTTATGAGATGGGGTCTCTCTACATAGCCCTGGCTGTCTTGAAATTCACTATATAGAACAGGCTGGCCTCGAACTCAGAAATCCACCTACCTCTGCCTCCTGAGTGCTAGGACTAATAGCGTGTCCCACTACTCCCAGCAGGTTTTGAACTCATGGACTCAGGTGCTGGGGGCTTGCTGCTGTGCTCAGCCAATATTTCATTTTTACATTGTTTCTGAGAAGGCATTAGTAAGGTACTTGGCTTAAAAAACCAACTGGACATGGCTTTTGATGCCAGCACCAGGAGGCAGAGGCAGGCAGATCTCTGTGAGTTCGAAGCCAGCCTGGTCTACAAAGCAAGTCCAGGACAGCCAAGGCTACACAGAGAAATGCTGTCTCAAAAAAAACCTGCTCGGATGTAGCCCATGGTAGCTCAGTATCCAAGTGGGTACTTGGATACTAATAAGTTCCCCTTATTAGTGGGTACCCTAATAAGGGGAATAGGGACTGTTTCTGATATGAAATGAACTCAATGGCAGGCTTTTTGACACACACACACACACCCCAGGGAGGAGCAGCCCTGCTAGGCCACATAGGAGGACTTTGCAGCCAGTCCTGAAGATACCTGATAAACCAGGATCAGATGAAAGGGAAAGAGGTCCTCCCCATCATTGGAAAGGGGCAGGGAGGAGATGAGAGAGGGAGGGTAGAATTCAGAGGGAAAGAGAGAGTGGGATATAGCATGGATACAAAGTTAACAAACTGTAACTAATATTAAAAAAGAAAAGAAAAAGAGAATAAACTGGAGTCATTGTGGTTGCAGCCATTAAAGCATTTCCCAGAGACAAAAGGCCAACTTGCCAGAGTCATCTAGTCTTTCCAGTAGCAACAAACATGAAGTATGTGTGATTCTTTCACATGGCAGACTTTAGCAACGAGTTCAAAGATAGCTGTAAATACTTAACCTCAACGTGCTCCACTTAACATCTCACTCTACTAAACAGGCTCGTGAAGCTGTGGAAATGCGAGCCCAGGTGGAGAGAAAGATGGCTCAAAAAGAAAAGGAGAAACATGAAGAGAAACTTAGAGAAATGGCCCAGAAAGCCAGAGAGAGAAGAGCTGGGATAAAAACCCACGTGGAAAAAGGTATGACATTCTCATTCTGAAATTAGTCAACAATGTGTATTATTTTATAAAGTTACCATATACTACTGTGTGCATGTGTGTGTGTTGGGAGATTACAACATACAAATTGTATGTATGTATGCATTTATATATGTACATATGCATGCATAAGAAAAATTCAGACATTTGAGAAATGTGTAAGGTGTGACCTTCCTTATTAAGCTTAACTAGAAAAAAAAAAGAAGCATATATTTTAAATGGATCTTTAATATGGGAGTATACTAAAAATTCTTAAAGTTTTAAGAAATATACAGTTGGTTCTCTATATTCCTTGGATCCACAGACTGAACCAGTTATGGATTGAAAGTATTTAGGTTAGGGAGTTAGCATCTGCACCCAAATTGTGCACTTTTTTTCTGCCATTATTTCCTAAAAAATTTGGCCTGTCAGCTGTCTGTGTAGCATTTGTGTTGTATTTGGTGATGTAGATTGAAAGTATGTGGGAGGGATTATGGGTTATATGCAAATACTACCTGGTTTTACATAAGAGATTTGAACATTCACCCATCAAAGTACCCATGAGGTATAAAGGTCCAGAAACCAATCCCTACAGGATGTTGAGAGACAATTGTACTTTTTTTAAGCATAGCCTGGCTGTCTGGATCTTCGTAGAACTACATAGAGGTCTCACACTCAGAGATCTTCCTACCGCTGCCCGCTGCCCACAGTGCTGGGATTAAAGGCATGCACAACCACATCCAACCTGACAATTACACTTTTTAATTTATGTTAATGCTATTGATATACTCTGCCAATATTTATCCCATTGTAGTTTTCTTAAAATTTAGAAAAAACAAAAAATTGATTCCCAACTAAGTCAACTTGACAACACGGTAAAATAATCTGGAGTTTTGCTAGTTTGGAGACTAATGGATCTTTTAGTAATTAAAATTGCCAGTGTTTTTCTGCCTGGCTTTATTTAGTAATTGACATTAGTTTATCAAGTCCATTGAGATAAATTTGTAATTTGTGGGGAGGGGCATGTTTGTTTTGTTTTGGGTTTTTTGGGGGGACAGGATTTTTCTGTATAGCCCTGGCTGGCCTAGAATGCTTTGTAGACCAGCCTGGCCTCCAACTCAGAGATCCTGAGACCTGCCTCTCCCTCTGCCTCCAGACTGCTAGGATTAAAGGCGTGTGCCACCACATCCAGAGGGAGTTCCAGGACAGTCGGGGCTACACAGAGAAACCCTGTTTCAAAAAAACAAAACAAACAAACAGAAAACCAACTAGTAAAGTTAATCATGTAATATAATACAATGGATGAAGAAAAATAAAACATAACGGATATAAAATTACCTTTAGAAGGAAAAGCTTGTGAATATAGGCCTTGCTCTTAAAATGCTAACATTAGTTAAAAAAAAAAAAAAAAAACAACTTGGAAATAAACCATGTGGCTATCTGAGAGAACATTCTAAGCAGACAGATAAATGACTATAAACACCCTGAGTTTACCCAGTGTAGCTGATTCTATACATAGGAGATATATGTCAGAGTAGTTAGGGATCAGATCCAAAAGTAGGTCAGTCCCGTAACAGTGCTGCCACTGTTGCAGCAGTGGTATTGTGTATCTTGCCATACAGGTATTATGTATGCTGGGTCCAGCACTTGGATGAAATCACTCATCTCCCTGCCCCCTCCCTCTGGCTTTTGCAGCACTGTGAAAGCTGACCAACAGTCACCTTATTCTTTGAAACAGAGTCTCTTTGCTTAGAGCTCACAAATCTGAGTAAGGCTGGCTCCAGTGAACAAGAACCTGTACATGGTTCTTTTTCCTTCTGTTTGTTTGTTTGTTTTTGTTTTTTTAGATTTGGCATGGTGTGGTGTGCATGCATGCACACACACACACACACACACACACACACACACGTTTGTTTTGCCTGCTTGTATTTGTGTGTGAGGTTGTTGGATCCCCTGGAGCTGAAGTTCCAGACAGTTGTGGATGCTGGGAAATGAACCTGGGTCCTCTGGACGGTCAGCCAGTGCTCTTAACCATTGAACCATTTCTCCAGTCCCTGTAGTTAATATTTGTTTGTTTCTGTTTTTTGAGACAGGGTTTGTGTATGTAGCCTTGGCTGTCCTGGACTCACTTTGTAGACCAGGCTAGACTCAAACTCACAGAGATCCACCTGCCTCTGTCTCCCCAAGTGCTGGAATTAGAGGTGTGCTCTACCGTGCCCAGCTGTGGTTAATTAAAAAAACACAAAAACCAAAAAAAAAAACCCTGCATCCCTGAATTTTCTTGCACCACCTGTACGCTCACCGCTCCACATCAGTCTGACTTTCTACCTAAGTGCAATCAAGTAAGCTAACGCAGGCATCCACAGTCCACAAACTTGGATTTAAACTGACTACAAGTAACCTTAAAGGGCTGAGTGTGACCACAAAGAAGTGGTGGTGCACACCTGAAATCCCAGCAGCAGGGATGTGGGGGCAAAAAGCCAGAATTTGAGGCTAGCCTGGGCCGTAGTGGTATGTGGTCCCAAAAAATAGAAAAGTGTGGCATTTTCTAAGGTTAAAGAGCCTCTTGTACAAAATATGAGTAACTAATGCAGTGACGAAGTAATTTTCATCTGTGTACACAGAGGATGGAGAGGCACGAGAAAGGGATGAAATCCGTCATGACAGGCGAAAAGAGAGACAGCATGACCGGAACCTTTCCAGGGCAGCTCCCGATAAGAGGTGGGTCAATCCCTGCATAAATATGAGTTAGGAAGAAGGGCATTTCTTTAGCTTGGTCATAAATTAGTAATTAACTTTGTCATGCTCAACCACTTTGTCTTAACAGAGTTGACTCTTCCTAGAAGGTAATTTGTTTGTCCTTCACCTTGTAGGATTAGTTGAGAATGGCAGGGAATCCAGATCATGTCTGTGCAAAAGAAGGAAAAAATAAAATTGTTGGGGTGTGTGCTTTTACTACTGCAGGTGGTGGGTAAACTTGTAGCATGCCTGTGTGTAGATGAAAGCCAGCACCATAGCCTTACTGACATCCTTTCTATGCCATGCACTGTGCCTCCTAGTGCAGTGGGAAGGAGAGTACGTTCTGAAGGAAGTTTCTGGGTGCCCATGAGTACTTTATTTAAAATTCAGAACAGAGCTGTGTATAATGGGAATGAAGTGGTGTAAAACAAACTAACATGTTTAGGGACATAAAATAGGAATCAGAGAAGTTTGTGATTGACCAGTAGCTGAGGACTGTAGTTACTTCAAAGTTCAGAAAATGCTGTGCTGCAAAGGTGGAATTCAAGGTTCAGGCTAAATGCAAATGTGAAACACTTTCTTCCCATATGAGCAACTTTCCATGCTGTGGTCATCCTAGGAAGTTGATCCAACCCAAAGTTTCACCTCATATCTTAAACTATCTCTGCCGGGGCGGTTCCTTATTTAATTGGTGTATTTTTCCTCTCTGGATAAGTTAGAGAAGCAGAAACAACCCATGGAGAAGAGAGGAATGAATGAAATATCACTGTCGTCAGTGAGTTAGGGATTTGCTATGTTATAAAGTGACAGTGGCTCTGTACAGAAATTGGGCTCTTAAAACCAGTAAAGTGACTGTGAGAAATGACAGAAAAGCTGTGAACTTGTAATTAGATGAAAATGAAATTGTCTACAGAAATATTTTAAGACATAAGTATCTTGTAAAGTAGTGACAGTTGCTATAGTTTCATTGAGATGTTGATTGCATTTATACTAAAACAGCAGAGAAATTAATGTAATGTCAGAAGTCATAAAGTTATCTGGTCATTGTCATGTTTTCCTCAGAATCATGGTAAGATAAAAAATTGCTCTATGTAGTTAGGTCAAAGCTGAGTATAGCCTGCTTAAAAAGATTGATGGTGTGTGGAGCATCCATTTGCATCCAAGAACTAGTCTTTTGTGTGTTCTTTTGACATGCCCTAATTTATATGCCTACCTTCTCTAATATGCATCTGAAGTACTCTAAGGCTGCTGATATGATTGTACATTATCGGGGAAAAAAAAAATATATATATATATATTCATCTTGTCTGTGAAATGTGTTCAGTTAATGTTTGTGTATTCCAAATAGGTCAAAACTACAGAGAAATGAGAATCGAGATATCAGTGAAGTCATTGCTCTTGGTGTGCCCAATCCTCGAACTTCCAATGAAGTTCAGTATGACCAAAGGCTCTTCAACCAATCCAAGGTATGAGGAACTTAGAAAACAGCTTTATCCTGTGTGTTGGTAAGGCTATCTTTCCTCAGAGTAAAGTCCATATTTTGGATCTGGATTAGCCAAAGATATGCCAGAGCAATGACAGAAGAAATGTGAAGTTGTATGTTTTTACTTATTCAAAATTTGAGAGGCTGGACAGGAAGGCCAGCCTGAACCTGGAACACTTCTGATTATGATTTCTTAAAATTCTCTGCTCTGAAGCACTAGTAGACAGTGAGCGAAATCAGGTGATGAAACTTTTTTCCTTTTGTTTCTAAAATAGCCACTGTTTCCTTAAAATAGTGGTTGTCAACCTTCCCATGCTGCGACTCTTATTTTATGGTGACCCCAACCATAAAATTATCTCATTGCTTCTTCGTAGCTGTAGTTTTGCTACTGTTATGAATCATAATGAAAATATCTGGTATGCAACCCCAAAGGTTATTGTTAAAATTTTAAGTTTTCCTTTTCTTTCTTTGAAATTGTTGTAAAATGAAGCTTTAGAACTGGGAATATAGCTCACTTGGTAGAGTGCTTGCCTAGCATGCCTGACACACTAGACTTGAGATCCCCAGATGACATAAATCAGATGTGATGGTGGAAATCTATAATGCTAGTTTTTGGAAGCTAGAGGCAGGAAATTCAGGAGTTAGCCTGAGGTGCATGGGACCCTATCTCAAAAAATCAAAAGTATTAAATATAAATGAAGCTATGTGACTGGATTATTAAGTACTAGATTGATTGTGAGGAAACAACAATTTTAGTATTGGTTGTAATTAATTAGCCTAGAACAATTTAATCACCTATTGTTGATTACTAACTTCCCAAAAGTCAGTGAGATCAAAGATACCAGTGCCCCTGCCCTTAAAGAAAGAATCCTCCTGTTGAATATGCACACATGCTAAGGGAAAGAGAAGAGGTGACAGTAGACTGTTAGCTCCTCCTGGGGATAAAATTGTGACTTGATGGTTTTAGAAGATTTGGAGATAGCATGAGTTAAGTTCTTTCAAACAATAAATTTTTTGATACTTTTTATATTCCAGGCATTGTTCCAAGTCTGTTCCTCTCAATTCTTAATTGGAGTTTGGGGGCACAACATATGAAGCCAGGCTATTGGTGGGGGGTCATATTTCACTGTTTTTTTTCATTTTCATTTGTATGTTTGCTTGTATAGGCACTTGGGCCTACATGCATATGCTAAGTTTGGAGGTTGATGTTGGGAATTGTCCACCCACCTTATTAACGGGGCAGGTCTTAAGACGATCCCAGAACTCACTGATGTTATTAATCTTGCTAGACTGCTTGCTCTAAGATCTGCTGTCTGCATTTCAAGAGTATGAAATTGCAGGCAAGCTTCCATGCCCACCTGTCATTTACATGGGTCCGCATGCTTACATGGAAAGTGCTTTAACACATCTCCCCGGCCCCCATTATGTTTCATACATAATTGAAGACAGGGTTAGGTAATAAGTGGAACTGAGAGTCAGCCTTAAATGCTTTGGTTCCAAAGCTTTTTCCTTAACTGCTGTGCAATGGCAACTAAGCCTAAGCAAGAGGCAGGATGAAAGTTCACATAAGTAAATATTTTCAAGATGATCATCCCTTAAAACCTTAAGCTTAAACATTTGAAAAGTTGAATGAGTTTTTTTGTTGTTTTCTTTGAGACAGGGTTTCTCTGTATGGTCTTTGTGAATGAAATTTTTAAAGATTTTATTGAGACCCTTATTGTCTTGTACTGTAATTAATAGTGACATTCTCAGGCAGTTGAGGTAACATTTCTTGGCATCATTGTCAAGTATCTATAGTAGAATCCTTTAGTTTTGATGACATGTAGTCAATTTTTAAAATTTGAGAATTTTATTAGATGCCCTCCTTCCAGATACATCCAACGTTCTCTACATACCCAACTTTGTGTCTATTGTTTTGCTTTCTTTTTGTTTTTTTCTGTGTAGCCCTTGGCTGTCCTGCAATTCACTTTGTAAACCACACTGGTCTTGTACTCACAGAGATCCACTTGCCTTTGCCTCCTGAGTGCTAGGACTAAAGGTGTGTGCCACCACACCAGGCACTGTGTCCTTTATTTTTTGGTTAATCAAAAGTTTTGTTGTTGTTTGAAACAAGGTCTATTATTTAGCTCTGGCTGTCCTGGAACGTGATATTTAGACCAGGCTGACCTCAGACTTACAAAGATCCACCTGCTTGCCTCACTAGCTCTGGGATTAAAGGCATATACCACCACATTCGGCTTAATCAAACTTTTTAATCATCTATATTTAATCTTAAGTGTCTAGGTAAGAACCCAAATGTATATGAATAAATTATGTATCTTTTAAATGTTGCAGTTGAGGTTGTTTTTTTTTTTTTTTTTAATTGGCTGTAAACATGGAAGTGTTAATTCCTTGTAAGTATTCAGATTCAGCTTTGGATAAGTATTCATTTTTATTTGTTGTCATTCATTTCTCCACAGGGTATGGACAGTGGATTTGCAGGTGGAGAAGATGAAATTTACAATGTCTATGATCAGGCCTGGAGAGGTGGTAAAGATATGGCTCAGAGTATCTACAGGCCCAGTAAAAATCTAGACAAGGATATGTATGGTGATGACCTCGAAACCAGGATAAAGACCAACAGGTACCACAACACATTTGATTGTGCTCCTGACCCAGCACAACAAAAGTGGTTCATGACCTCTTCTCTCTTTTTTCCCCTAGGTTTGTTCCTGATAAGGAGTTTTCTGGTTCAGACCGTAGACAGAGAGGCCGAGAAGGACCAGTTCAGTTTGAGGAAGATCCTTTTGGTTTGGACAAGTTTTTGGAAGAAGCAAAACAGCATGGTGGTTCTAAAAGACCTTCTGATAGCAGTCGCCCCAAGGAACATGAACATGAAGGCAAGAAACGGAGGAAGGAATAGATAGGCATCTCTTCAAAGCAAATGAACTCTTACTCACAGCCCTAATGATGCAAGTCACTGGGAAACCCTTTGTAAATGATCAGGATAAAAACCAAATCTGGGTGATAGATCCCAGCACTACTTTTTATTCCGGGAGACTGGGGGGGTTGAATATTATACTTTGGATTAGTTTTTTTAAAGAATGGGTTATGTTTGTGCTTCTCCCATCTTGCAGCACTTAAATACTGCCCCACACAGAATTAAGACCACTTCCTTGTGTGTGACACTTACTGATCCAGGGGTAATATTTTGTGTAAGAACTTTATGAATAAAATTACCCCAAACAGTGAGTAGGATAATGTCCACATACTGAAACTATGCTACCAAATACGTCTGCCCTGTTGTGCTGTCTTACCTTGCAGTGGGGAAACTAAGGTCTTGCTTAGTGCTTTTGTTTCAAATAAAACCATTTAGAAAAAGTCTGTTATGTTTATTTAATGGGAAGTACATGAATCATATCATAAATCTTCCTCTTCATCAGAAACCTTTGTTTTCTGAGCTTGAACATGGATCTGTGGAGGGGAAAAACACTGTAAGAAAAGGTTTTTTTGGAAGAAATATTAAAAGTAGAATTTATCTACTTGTTTGATTAGAGGTTCATACTAGTGTTTTTCAAGACAGGGTTTCTCTGTGTAGCCTTGCCTGTCCTAGAATTGCTTTGTAGACCAGGCTGGCCTTGAACTCACAGAAATCCACCTGCCCCTGTTTCCCCAAATGCTGGGCTTACAGGCATATGCACCAAGCCTGACCAACTAAAACTTCTTAGTGAGAAAGCCAAGATTTCAGCCTGTTCGCCTATATATACTGCTGTGTCTGCTGTTCTGTGTTACATAGACCCTGCTAAACCAAAGGGTCTTTCACGTGCAGCTCAGCAGAACATGTGCTTGTCATGTGTGGCACTCTAGATTCAATCATAGCACCAAAAATTAAAAAGGGTCTTCTCTTTTTAATTTAATTTTAAAGGGTCTTATAGGTTACCACCTACTGTTTAGAAAGCAACATGTAACATACAACAGACAGAAATACTTGCCTTTACCCCATCAATAATATGATTTTCGTGTTGTAGTGCATTCTGAAGTTCTTCCTGTGAAGAAAAGTGAACCCAACCGAAGCCTTTGTGAAAGCCAGTCTCTTTGTCCTAAAAAATGAAAATTCAATAGAAAAGGATTAACCATAACATCAGTGATTCATCCATAAGTGAAACAGGGTTTCTCTGTGTAGCCTTGGCTGTGCTGAACTCACTTTGTAGACCAGGCTGGCCTCGAACTCACAGAATCGCCTGCCTCTGCCTCCCCAAGTACTGGGATTACAGGCCTGCACTACCCGGCTTCATTTGCCAAAATCAGATCACAGACAATATGTATCAGTAACCTGGTTACCCAAAACTAAATCCTAGTGTTACTCTGCTTTTCTACTGGCAACAGAGAAAATACCAACAGCTTTCTGCAAGTGCATTTGATATAGTCAAAAGTCCAAGAAGCAAACCACTAATGATGTTAGTCAAAGGAAATACTCTAACTGAAATATTCTTTTTTTTAATTGTTTCTAATGTACTACTTACTAAAAAAGCTCCCAAACCTAGGTGTATCTTGTCACTTCTTAAACAAATGAACCTCATCACCACTACCACTGTCATCACATGCTTTGTTTTGATGTTGCATTTGAATGCCATATGTATATGGGTAATTGTGGAGCCCAGAAGAGGCCATTAGATATCATGGAACTGGAGTTAGAGTGGCTGTGAGCCATCCCATGTGGGTGCTAGGACTCAAACTCAGATCCTTTGGAAGAGCAACAAGTGTTCTTCACCACAGCGCTCTTCGGCAAATGCATCCCTCCAGCACCTTCACTGAAGAACAAGAATAAAAGTAAAGCCTTCACTAACAACTTTGGGTTAAACCATTTTGCTACTTGTGGAAAACGAAGAGCACTTATGACCTAAGTATCTGGCACAGAAGAGATTATAGTGTGCCTTGAGGGACTCTCACTCCTCCAACCCTCTGACAAAAGACACTATGAAGATGTGTATTTGGCCCCTATTAGTTACAAAATACACTGTTCCAAAAAACAAATTGTTGGATATTACTCTAATACTTCAAAGGTAGCTTTATTAATGTTGAATGCAGGAAAAGCTTCTGGTGACCCCAACAATAATCCAGTCCAATGCTCATATGGCCATTCTCAAAATTCAAGGCATTAAAAATGTGTTAAAATGGAAATGACAGTTGAGTATAATAGCACCACACATCTGTAACCCCAGCATTTGGGAAAGCAGCCAAGGTTAGCACTGATTAAGATCATCCCCTGCTAAACAAGTGGGAAGCAGCCCAGGCTACATGGCATCCTGTCTGAGCTAGCAGATTGCTCTTTACTAGCTGGATCTCATCGTACCAGGCAGTACTATGCAGGCTGCTATGGGATAAAGGCGTTGATGGTCTAACCCAGACGTGAACTCTGAACTATAATACCAATAGATACAGGGAAGGAGTTGGAAGCAGGAAGGGGGAAATTATGCTTGTATTTTTGGTGTTGTTTTTTTTTTTCTTTCAGGACAAGGTTTCTCTGTTGTAGCCCAGGCTGTTCTGGAACTCATCCTGTAAACCAGATTGGCCTCAAACTCAACTCCACCTGTCTCTGCCTCCCAAGTGATAGAATTAAAAGCATGCACCATCACCACCATTGTCTAAAACAATTTTTAATTAAAATGAATAAATACTTGTGATAAATTGTACTTTGATACAGGACCACCCACAAGTTTATCAATAGATTTTGGGAGTGTTTCACTCCATTAATAAAAGATAAAAGAAACCAAGAATGAAAGATAATATTTTTTTTTCCTTCTGGCAGTCTGACTAAGGCTAAAACTGGAGCCGCATACATACTAGGCAAATGCTGTACCACAGAGATAATGTTCCCACCCCACCGCCCAGTAGTTCTATGTTACTGTTTTAATACTCACAAAAGGTACAGTACACTTTTTTATATGGCCAAACTGAGCAAAATGTTCTCTCAGCTCACCTGTAAAAAGGGAGAAAGCATATTAAAATTAAGTCCGTGTATCTTACGTTCTCTAGATTGTAGATAACAATCAGAAAGATTCCAGAGTTCCTGAACTTCTAACAAACAAGAACTATTTTGAATTTCCTGAGTCCAAAGATTCCAAAAGCAGCAACAGGACTGACTGTTGTAAAGCACCAAGTGTAGAGGTGGGAAGGAAACAGACATAAAAACTGCTGAACTGGCTGTAGCTGCCATCCTCAACAGATACTTCACCACACCAGGAACTGCCCACTGTGTGTGTGTTAATACAATCCCTCTAAGCAGTAGGCATAGATCTTTACAGCCCAGTGTGCTGCCAGATACATAAGAGGTTTCCAAACAAAATCTCGGCGTAGTGGTCTTCCATCAGTCCTACCTATGCTTCCTGCCTTATTTCCTATTGCAGGCCTAGATACTGTCAAGTGCAGCAGAGTCAATTCTCTGTCCTATCCCATGGATTCCCATTTTCGTGTATGTGAGTTCTCTTCCATATGCCAGTATTCTCATATCCTCTGACCTAAATTATAAGGGTTTTTTTTTCCAAGCTGAGTGAGTATTATTTTATTGAATTCATACTATAACACTCTTCCTGTGTGATCTTAAAATGTTTACAGTACATGATCTTAAAACATAAAGCTACATGGCTTCTTTCTCTTCTGCAGTGGTTCTATTTTGCAGGTTTACATTTTAATATTACTTGCTATTGTTCCTGTAGTTTGAATGATAATGGCCTTATGGGCTCATATACTGGAATACTTGGTCCACAGAGGCTGGAACTGTTTGGGACGGATTAGGAAGTTTGGCCTTGCAGAAGGAGATATGTCACTGGGGGGTTATAAACTTATTTGCCTGCTTCCATGTTGTCTCAGAGACTTACTGCTTCTGTCTACAAACTTAGGCCTAGTCCTGGAAGCTGTGAGCCTCCATACAATCTAATCTAGGCCTAGAATGTTTTCAGCCTCTGAGATTTACTGCTGAACAAACTCACCCTTTCTAGCTCTTTCTGAACTCTGGATGGCTACTTCAACTCAGTTGTTCTGGATCAAACTCCTCTCCAAGATGACTCCTCTCAGTTTCTCACTGAATTGCTCTGCTTGGCCTCAAACTAACTCTAGCAATCTGTTCTAATCTTCTGGCTCCTTCTCATTCTTTGGTTCATTCTGTCTTTACCCGTGTTTGGCTTATTCTCTTCTCAACCTCTCTCTGTAAAACACTCCTGGTGAAAACTGACTCTGAATTCCACTAACTGAACTGCCATGAATTCAACTCCACTGCACTGCCTCAACTGAACTGTCTGACAGTACTGACTAGAACTCTGCATGGCTGTCTCGTGAGTGCTGGACCTAAGCTTTTCTTTACCTGAAACTTGCTCTATACTGGGCTGGCCTTGAACACAGAGATCTGCTTGCCTCTATCTCCTGGGATTAAAGGTGTGTCTGTATTCCAGCCAGATCACACAAACCTAGAAGGTCTCCGGATATGATCTCTTACCAGATTAGCCATGTTCTGAATTAAAATTTTCTATAGGGGGTTTGCATCGAAGTTTCAAAAGTCCACACAATTCCCAATTGTTCTCTCTGCCTCATGGTTGTTGTCGCAAGATACGAGAACTCAGATACTATTCCAAGGTTATGCCTACCTGCCTGCATCCATGCTCTCCACTATGATGGTCATGGACTCACTTTCTAAAACTGTAAGCCCCCAATAAATTGCTCCTTTACCATGCTTTAGTCATGGTATGTAATCACAGCAATAGAAAGTATGACAGTTCCAAGATAATCTAAGCATCACTGGCCCAACTGTGTACTTCTTGCTTAGAAGTCTCCACCCTACCACTACACTACAAGCTGAACCAGGAAAACCATGCTTACAGTGTGTTGCACGGTAACATTTCAATCGCAGCTCAATGAAGAATGAGTCAACATCACATAATCCTTCAATAACTAGAGGCTACATTTCTGAAAGGTCCTAATGATTGGCAAGGTCAGAGACTCATAGAACATAACTGGAAATTAGGCAAAACAGTACCAAACATCATGTTAAAATGAGTAAAAGTTCTATAAAACACTTCCAATGTTATAATTTCGATCTTTAATACACCTCACTGGCTCCTATGCTAAAGGCTTCGTTAGAGGTAGGAACCTTTTAGGAAATAGGACCTAGTGGAACTATGTTATAGCAATGGGAGGGTCACTTGAAGGAACACTGGAGCCCCTCTTACTAATTCTCTCTTGAAGTAAACAGCCTTCTTACACCTTCTGCCCCAAATATGATACACTATGCCAAGACAAACCCAAACAAGGCTGGATAAAACTGGACTTGAAAACATACAAAAAATATTTCTTCTTTTAAACTGTTTGTGACCGATGTTCTGTCACGGCAACAGAAACCACTTCTAGAAGGTAAGCCTCTTATCAAATCACTTCAGGAGAGTGTGCTGTACACACGAAAAGCAGTGCATAGACACGATTTAAGTATTTGCTAGGTTAAAAAGATGAACTAGGAAAAAAAACTATTGCAATGTCATAGAGTTTTAAAGGTTTCGCATCATCCATTGTAGTGTGGAAATCTGAATCTACTAGCTGCTGGTGAAAATCCTCAGGCTCTCTACAGAGTTTAACAGAATGTAAGGGAGAGAACTATGGTGGAGTTGACATTTGCCAGGGTGAGGCTCAGACCCTATTTCCACTCATACTACTACATCTGAACCACAAAAACTAAGAAATCACTATATTCTAGAGTTTTAAGGGGACTGATACATACATGAATAACTAACTCCCCCCTCCCACCCCCAAAAATGAGCTTGGATTTTAAGTTTAGGTGAGCAAATTTTAAAAATTTGCTTAATTTAGCTGGGCATGGTGTCTCACTTACAAACCAGGCACTCAGTGAGCTATAGTATGAGATCCTGACTCGAAATAAAAAGTAAAACCTGGAGCGATGGTTCAGCCTTTAACAGTACATACTGCTCTTACAGAGGACCCAAGTTCAGATCTACAGACCCCCATGTCAGGAGGGCTCACAACTGCCTGTAATTCCAGTTCTTGTGGATCCAACACCCTCTTCTGTACTGCCTGGGGCACCTTCATTCACCTGCACATATCCACAGACATACACATAGAAATAAAAATCTTAAGCCTAAACTGCAGCTAATAAGAATCAAAGTTGGTGAGTGATTTTAGAAATAACCAACCCTTTATCACCAGACTATTCTTCTTCCCCGTATGTCAATTTTAACAGCCATACAAATAACTATCACTTTTTGAGTACTTAACGCTCTAGCATAAATCTACCAAGTTTACATGTAAACTCATTTATTCCTCTCCCCATTTCTAGAGGGAGGTATTACTGATTCTACTTTTTAGAAAATTAAACGGGTTCTCTTATGAGAATCTTTCCCATATTAACTTCAGTTATTTGGATTACTCGATTATTAAAATGACTAGTTTGAAATTCTAACCTACGCAGTCTGACCTCAAAGTCCATTTCTCAACCAAAACCTACAACCTCTGCACAAATGTTGGCCAGACACCTCACAGGCAGCTCAAACTCATATACTGAAATTTTACTCTTCATCTTCTGTCAATTTCCTCCTCCTAAATTCTAAAAGCGAAGGTCATCTATGCCAGGAATCTGGAATATACACCTTTCTCCTCAAACCATCACGAATGCTGTGGATTTTATCTTGAAAACCGACGTGATTCCGACCCCCTCCCCTTTACCAGTTCCCTTGTCCAAGTTTTCATTTTTGACCTAAATTAAAATCTTTTGTCTCTTCTCCACCCGTACATTCTTGCCACTTTAAGGCCAAGCACCCCAGAAGTCAAAATAGCTCCTTCTGTTGTAAATGTCCAAGAAAGCAAATAATAAATCTTTCCACCAAATCATTACAAATCGCTGGGTACCGTCGAGTCGCACCCTAAAGGCTGGGACAGGGGTTGGACGGTGGGGTGGAAATCATCTACCTAAACAGTTAACGGGAAGCAAAATTTTCTGCGCGGTGGCTTACTCAAGAGCAAACCACCGGTGCTCGGTGCAAAAGGAGAAGCACGACCCTGCGCAAGGATGACGCGCAAATTCATAACGCTTTCATTAAAAGGAAAAAAAAAAAAAAAAAAAAAAAAGCAAACCACCTGACCTAACCCATCGACCATGCTGCTTTAAGTTCTCTACAGAGAACTTTTGTTTTGCGCGTTACGTAAACAAAGAAATTGGGCCCTTCCTCATCTCCATCACTCACTCGACGCCGCAGTCCAAGGAATTTTTCTGATAAAAGCAATAGGCCGACCAGCACTGGAACGCAGGGCCATCATGGCCCGGACGGTGGAAACTGCCATGTTGAAAGTGAATGACTCAAGAACTGGGGTCGTGACCCGGAAGAACCTGCGGGATCCGGACCTTGGCGTTCTGTTTCCGGGTCAGACTGCTCGCAGCTTCGAGATGGGTAAGATGGCGGCGGCGGTGGCTTCATTGGCCACGCTGGCGGCAGAGCCCGGAGAGGACGCCTTCCGGAGACTTTTCCGCTTCTACCGGCAGAGCCGGCGGGGGACGGCGGACCTGGGAGGCGTCATCGACTTCTCAGAGGCTCACGTGGCCCGAGTCCCGAAGCCCGGCGTGCCCAAGGTACGAGGGGAGTAGTAGTGTGTGCTGCTCCGCACGCCTACCGTCCTCGTAGGTCTCCTGCCTCCGGGCCGGTTATGGAGGGAGCCCCGGCTAGGCCTGTGCGACGAGCTGTGCTGCCCCCAGAGCGCTGGGCCGCAGCTTTCTTCCGGCCGCCATTTTCCCCCCGAGCTCCGCGCCCTGGCTCCCCCCTACCCACCCGCTAAAAAAGCCTGGGAATTGCTCGTACTTATTTAGTTGTTCCCTACGTTATTGTGTGTAACGTTTTCGTGGACGTTAGGGTGACGCCACAGCTTCAAATAAAACCAGGCATCGAATAAGGCTCGGCCCTGCCCTCTGAGACGTAGGAAAAAGGTCTTTGAAGAATTTTGGACTGCTCTACCCAAGGTGAAAATAAAGGTCAAATTAGCATTTCTCTAAAAGAATCTAGTACCCTGGAGAGATGGGTCTGCACTTACTGGTGTTCCAGAAGACCTGGGTTTTGTTCCCAGTATCCACGTGGCAGCTCACAGCTGTCTGTACTCCAGTTCCAGAGGTTCAGGCACCCTCTCCTGACCTCCATAGGCAAAACACTCATGCATAGAAAATAAGTTTTTAAATAAATAAATTTTTTTAAAAAAGAAAATCTAAACGACGTCCATAACCCTAATTTTGCTTCTCCCTAAGAAAGAGAACAAGGCGGGGGGGAGGGGGTTGTGGTGTGTATGTATACTATCCTTACTCACATTTTTAAATATTTGTGGGTTTTCAAGACAGGGTTTCTGAGTAGGCCTGCCTCTTCTGGAGCTCGCGCTGAGACCGGGCTAACCTCGAACTCACAGATCCCCTTTCCTCTGCCTCCCTAGTGCTGGGATAAAAGCGATTGCCATCGCTGCCTGACCTTGGTCACACGTTTTAAAGCTTTGCCTTGTTGAGACAGTCTCATTCTGTGGTTGAGGCTGGCAGCTCACTGAACCACCATGCCAGGGTTTCTTTGAAGTAAATTTTAATGGGGAGACTATGTAAACCCTTATTTGGCCTTAGTATTGTGCAGGAATGTTCACAACAGAAAATCTTAAAAAGCACAAAGTAAATTTGAAGTCTAGAAACTTTTAGCAGAAATGGTTTTAGAGTCATCTGAATTACACGTGGAAAATGTGTGCCCGGAGACTAACATTTGACTCTGAAGAGAGGTTGGGACACTCTTGATTCATCTCTGTTTTGCCATAATGCATGAGTGCGCGCCTCCTGAAAGTGTATGCTTTGTTGCACAGTGCTCAAAAATAAAGTACATGTTGCATAAATGAAAGCTTGGGTTTTCAGTTTTCCAAACTCAGAGCAGATTAAAAGTGGCATTTTAGAGAAGCTGTTGTCACAAAACATCAGATGAGAGCAGTGGAGAAAAAGATGGCTGCCAGTCTGGCAAGGGAGAAATCAGAAAGGAAAAGGAATGACAAAGTATTTTCTTAACTAAATAACTGGAAACTTAAAGTGATCAAGACTCTCAAAGTCTCAGACAGCCCTTTTATTATACAGACTGGTGGACTTGGCATGTAACTCTAGTCAAGAGCTTGCCTAGCCTATTCGAGGCACTGGATTTGATTGCCCAGCAACAAAGAGAATTTTGTTGTTGCTGTTTGAAGCCTGCTTATACACCAGTCGTTTGTTGTTATTTTGTCAGGAAATCTCCATACTTGGAGGTTATTAAAACAAAAAGCTCATTTCTTAGGCCAGGTATGTGGCACACACCTTTAATTCCAGAACTTAAAACAAAGGCAGGCAGATCTCTGAGTTCCAGGACAGCCAAGACTAGGAAATGAGGTCTACCTCCAAAAACCAACAACAATTTTTCTTAAAGGTCATTAATCTTTGGGGGGGAAAAACACACAAAAAACATTGGAAGCCAGGCTGCTGGGGTCCACGCCTTTAACCCTAGGAGTCAGAGGTGGGCCGATCTCTGAGTTCTGAGGCCAGAGAAACCCTGTCTCAAAACAAAAACAAAAAAACAGGCATTCGTTGTATTTTAAAGCAGGCTACTTCTATTTTCATGGGAAAATGAAGTGGTTTTGTTGTTTGTTCCCTTGATATGCCAACACTGAGTTTTTTTAAAGATAGGGCTTTTCTTTGTATCTCTGGCTGTCCTGGAACTCACTTTGTAAACGAGGCTGGCCTTAAAATCACAGACATGTATCTGCCTCGGCCTCCCAGATTCAGAGATTGAAGGTGTGTGCCACCAAGCCTGGCTACCTGTTGGGTTTCTTAACTATTGTAATGACTCATCTAAAAAAATTCCCTATGTGTAAAGAAAATTCCATGAGCTCCTAATGCTTATTTCTTTTTTTAGTAAGAAAAGCAAAGTTCTAGCATTAGTATCTCATCAAAGGGTAACACTTTCAACAAATGGGACCCTTATTGTTTCATGGAAATAATTTTTCTTTGTGGCTAGAGAACTCTCCATTTTCTCAACCTACTCCTACTTGATATTTTACTGATATTTTTTGCTAACGATAACAAAATGCTTTAGAAGCAGTGTTTTAACAGTAACCAGACCAAATAGCATTGTGTCCTGAGATACCCCCAGATAGCAAACACTTTTCATGAATCCTCTCAAGAAATTAGTAAAGTGTGTTCTCATAGGAAAAGGTTGTCTCGAAAGTCAAAATTAGGGACTGGCAAGGTGACTCAGCATTAAGAGCACTCACGCTCTTCTAAAGGACCTAGGTTCAGTTCCCGGCACCTGCATGGCAGCTCGTGACCATCTGTAACTCTGGTGCCAGGGAATCCTGTACTTTCTTCTGACCTCCACAGGCACCAGGCATGTAACTGGTGCACATTCATACTCGTAAAATGAGTAAGTCTTAAAAATAAAAGCCAAACCAGGTGCAGTGGCACATGCCTGACATCCCAGCACTTGAGAGGCAGAGACAGGCAGATCTTTGTGAATTCAAGGCCAGCCTGGTCTACAAATCAAGTCCTGGACAGCTGGAGCTACACAGACATATCCTGTCTTGAAATACCCACCAAAGTAGAAAGCCAAAACCAGTCTAGCTTAATTTAAGTCTTACTACTGCTTGGCTCAGTTTTTTTATAAAATAGTATTTGTTAGATGAGGAAACAGTGGCCATAGGTCAAGTAGGAAGAGGGCTAATAGTAAGAGCCCATAGCAGAAATGTCTTTGGATGTCTCGGCTTCCCAGGATTGACCCTTGAGGTAGCTTTCCCCTAACTTAAGTCTCTCTTTCCAGGTAGTCAGATTTCATCTGAATGTGTCCTCAGTGAGTGAGCATGATGCCTGTAGGGCAGGGCTTCAGCCTGTGAGCAAGTGGCAGGCCTATGGACTTGAAGGCTATCCAGGTACGTGCACCTCAGAGAAAGTGAAATTACTCAGTCATTTGTGATTTCATAGGAAGAATGTGAATACCCTGGAGCATATCCTGTTTGTGCCTTCTGAGGTGTCTGTTTAATGCTACCAAAGACTGGAGTAACTCAGAAGTGTCATAACAAATTAAATGAAAAAAATGAAAGACAGACTTTGAACTCTGCCCTAAATCTGAATCTCAACTCTGCCAGAGTTTTAAGTAATGGAATAATTAACTGATAATTGTTATTCCAATCACATTTGCAAGTAGCGTACCAACTTACAAGTTGTGGCTGCCACGTCTGAATACTTAAAAAAAAAATAAACAAATAAATATGCATATATATGTGTATATATTAAGCTCAAAGGCTCTAATAGACTCAATAATTTAGAATATTTTATTGATTTTCTTAAAGGTGCATTTGTCTAATTTTTTTGTATAGTGTTTTTCCTGCATCTATGTCTGTATACCATGTGTATGTCAGAAGTCAGAAGAAGGTGTCAGGTCCCTTGGCACAGGAGTTAGATGGTTATGAGCTGCCTTGTGGGTATTTGGAACAAAAACTGGGTCTTCTAGAAGGGCAGCAAGTGCTCTTAACTGTTGGGCCATCTATCTCTCAGGCCCAAAATTTGTTCATTATGTATGGGGAGAAGGGTTACCTGCACATGAGTGCAGTTGCCCTTAGAGGGCAGAAGAGGATGTCAGATCACTGGAGCTGGAGTTACAGACAAAAGAGTCACCTGACGTGGATCCTGGGAATCAAACCCCAGCTTTCTGCAGGAACAGTATATACTCATAACTGCTAAGCCATGTCTCGAACCCCACAATGTCTATGCATATGACTGTTTTGCCTACATGTATATATGTACACCGAATTGAGGCCTAGCTCTCCAGTTCCTGGAAACTGCTCTTAAACTTCTAACTCTTAGCTCCTATTTTCAAGGTTATGATTGTCTATTGGTCTGGGCCTTCTTCATGCTATATAGATTATACAAAGTACAAGGTTATCAGGTCCCCTTTGGTTTTGTCTCGTCAGAGTGGTGTATCTGATTTTTCAGGCTTTGTAATACAATTTAAGCCATATCACTTGGGTTGTTACTTCTTTGTGTCCTTGGAGAATTTCTTTGGCTTTCACAGCCATTGTAAGCTGCATTGAATAAAAGTATAATATATGGTGTTGAAAACTACTTTTAGGGTGATCAGAAGATTATGTTTACTTCTGCATCCTACTTATTCTGAAGGAACTTGTGTGTACTGAAACCTGTTTTTCCTGGAGTAAGTATGAGGAAATTGGGTCTGGGGAAGAAAAGACTGATGGCAAATGTGACAGCAGTCATCAGACATTTTAAAAAAGGTTTTGCACAAAGGATGAGAGGCAAT